TGGTTGCAAAAACCAAATCGCTGACTCTCTCTCTCATTTCTCTTTGCAGATATTCTGGCAACTAGCCCCGGAAGCAGACCCTCACCCAACGCCGGTCCCTCCTTATTCAGTAACGATATTTCCATAAACCACCCATTTCATAATCTTCATCAAACTTCTCTATCTCTTATCCTACAAGCAATAGCTCCCAGAACCCTCAATGCATACCTCACAGCATGGAATTCGTTCAAACAATTCCATACCATGCTAGACAACCCATTACACTCAAAATCCTTACCTCATGCATCTACACCCTCTGTAAAGGTTACATTTCCTCCCATACAGCCCGCACCTTAGATGCTATGTTCAATCTAGCATTTTTTTGGGGGGGGTTTCTTAAACGTTCTGAATTAACAGTTACATCCAAATTTAACCCTCTACTCCACCCCACCATCTCAGATCTAGCTTTGCAAGACAGGGAAACTATCTCTTTCCTTATCAAACAAAGCAAAACAGATTAATTCCAGAGAGGACACTCTATCCTCATTTTCAATATTCCTTCACCTACACGCCCATTCCAAACCCTCTTAGCCTAGAAAATCTCAAGAGGCTAACCCACTGGCCCCGCTTTTTACTGATGACGCTAACCGTCCAGTATCTCGATTCTGGTTTCAAAAACACCTTAAAGAAATCTTTCGCCTATCAGGTTTTTCCCAGAGCCCTTTTCCAGCCACTCATTCAGGATTGGCGCAGCCACTACAACGGGCTCTCACACCATCAGATCCAGACCCTTGGTCGCTGGTCTTCTGAAGTTTTCAAATCTTATATACGTCTCAGTAAATACCACCTCAAGAAAGCCCAACAGGCTTTAACCAACCCCCAAGCACCTCCTCGCACGGCTCCAACTCAAAAAGGTGTCTAACAGAGCCTCGACTCTCGCAAGAGTCATCCAAACCAAACCCCGCAGAAGCCCAATTGTCCACCCATGGCACCCTTACATGCTTGCCAAGGACTCCCTCAAGGGCCATTGCAGTTAGCATCTTCTGCAATCACCAATAGCTATTTACAGATGCAGACGTTTGTATCCACATGTTCTTTGCGCATTTACTGCGTTTGTACATATGTATTATATTTGTGCTTGTTCCCTTCTTCCAACTTTTCCAAATCTTTTATCCTTATAACCCTACTTTTCAGCCTCTCGTTCCTTTCTTCTCTACACTCCACTCCTAACTAATCTATTTTACACTCTACCTCTAATGATCTTGTTTCTCCTGTCTAGACTCTTCAGACACCCGAAGGGGCCCCCTTGAGCTCCAACTCTCGCAGGATTCGGCCATAGCGGCCACAGTCCTTTCTTCTTCACGATGTTACCTATTCTTTTTCCGCCTAGACTCTTTCTCCAAGCTCCAAACCCCGCAGGGGTCCGTTCAAGCTAAAACTTCTTCACTCTACTTCAACTACCTCTCTTCTCCTTATGACTCACCCTCTAGCTCTGACCCCCACAGGGATCGCTCCGAGCCCCAATCTCTCGCAAGAGTTATCCAAATCCTCTTTCCCACTCACTGATATCTATCTCCTCCTATCCGCAATCTACCCTCAAGCTCTGACCTCCACAAAGGTCGCTCAGAGCTCCAACTCTCACAAGAGTTACTCTCTTCCACTCACTGCTACCTATCTCCCCCTATCTACACTCTACCCCCAAGCTCTGACCTCCACAGAGGTCGCTTCAAGCTCCAACTCTCGCAAGAGTTACTCTCTTCCACTCACTGCTCCTCCCAGCTACACTCTACCCTCAAGCTCAAACCTCCGCAGAGGTCACTCCTATCTACACCCTACCCTCAAGCTCAAACCTCCGCAGAGGTCACTCCTATCTACACCCTACCTTCAAGCTCAAACCTCCGCAGAGGTCGCTCCTATCTACACCCTACTTTCAAGCTCAAACCTCCGCAGAGGTCGCTCCTATCTACTCCCTACCCTCAAGCTCTAACCTCCGCAGAGGTCACTCCTATCTACACCCTATCCTCAAGCTCAAACCTCCGCAGAGGTCACTCCTATCTATACCCTACCTTCAAGCTCAAACCTCCGCAGAGGTCACTCCTATCTATACCCTACCTTCAAACTCAAACCTCCGCAGAGGTCGCTCCTATCTACACCCTACCTTCAAGCTCAAACCTCCGCAGAGGTCGCTCCTATCTTCAAGCTCAAACCTCCGCAGAGGTCACTCCTATCTATACCCTACCTTCAAGCTCAAACCTCCGCAGAGGTCGCTCCTATCTACACCCTACCTTCAAGCTCAAACCTCCGCAGAGGTCGCTCCTATCTATACCCTACCTTCAAGCTCAAACCTCCGCAGAGGTCGCTCCTATCTACACCCTACCTTCAAGCTCAAACCTCCGCAGAGGTCGCTCCTATCTACACCCTACCTTCAAGCTCAAACCTCCGCAGAGGTCGCTCCTATCTACTCCCTACCCTCAAGCTCTAACCTCCGCAGAGGTCACTCCTATCTACACCCTACCCTCAAGCTCTAACCTCCGCAGAGGCCGCTCTAAACTCAAACTCTCACAAAGCTCCATCTTTCGTAAGAGCTACTCTCCTCCACTCTCTGCTCCATACCTTCACTCTACTCTGGCCCCCGCAGGGGTCACTTAGAGCTCCAACTCCTACAAGATTCTCTCAAAGTTCTCTTTCACTGCTTCAAACCACCTATTCTCCCCTTCTTCTTAACCCCGAAAACCATGACCCCCGCAGGGGTTCCTTCAAACTCTAACTCCAGCAAGAGTTATTAGAATCCTCTTTTCACCCTTATTAATCCTATCTAATTAATGCCCATGCATTTAACCTCTTTTCTTCTACTATATCCAGCAGCCGGATATAGCTCTAAATTTCCTGCCTTTTGGGGGGTTTTTTCTTCGAATACGCGGCTGCTGTCCCGAGCGATTAATTCTGCATTTTGGGGAGTTCTGAGATCCACCGAGCTCAGGCTCCCTTCTTGCTCTGCCAACGGGAGGAAGCCCCGGGCTCGAGGAGCCCTTGAGCTCGGGGCTCTCTCCCGGGACAGCATGCCAAATAAGCTTTGTAAATCATCAGCTAAGTGTGAACTCTTGAAGTGAAGTTTATTCATAAACTAATTTCGAGAGGATCACGTGCTTATGATTTATCACGTCCAGTCTCGCATTTGCTAATCACTAATCTTCCAATCATACGAGCCCTAAGGCACCATAAATAGTCTAAGTTTCCAGTTCACTTTATCTTCGTTTGGAAGAAACCCCCCTCCTCCCCTATTCTCCTCCTTTACCTGTAATTGGGCGGCACGGCGGTCCAGTGGTTAGCACTGTGAACCACACAGCAAGAATACTGCCGGTCCTAGTTCGATAGGACCGGTGAGTGTTTCTGTGGGGAGTTTGTATGTCCTTCCCGTGTCCGCGTGGGTTTTCCCCGGGCTCTCCGGTTTCCTCCCACCATCCAAAGACATTCAACATACTTAACAATCAAGCTGGTCTAATTCCTTACGTTCCCTTAGCTACAGCGGCAGGGGAGTTCTGAGATCCACCGAGCTCAGGCTCCCTTCTTGCTCTGCCAACGGGAGGAAGCCCCGGGCTCGAGGAGCCCTTGAGCTCGGGGCTCTCTCCCGGGACAGCATGCCAAATAAGCTTTGTAAATCATCAGCTAAGTGTGAACTCTTGAAATGCCTGAGTAATGCTACTAATTCCTTTTTTTTTACCTTTTCCCTGATTCATTTCTTTTGATAATGTCTGACAGCGACTGTTAATGACAAGCAACTGTTAAACTAAACACTTTTATACTAACTAGCCATAAATAAACATTATTGTGGCTTATTGCCACCTGTTTGTTTTTTAATTATAGGTTTTGTTAATTTTACATTGTGTTTTTTGTTTAGGTTAAATTTAATATAGTGAATGTGCGATTATGATGCCATGAATATTTACATGTAGACTTAATAATATATTTGTCATGATCATCAGAGATCCAGCCCGTGCAGATTGCTGGTAAACACACAGTTCGCCAACGAACTACAAATCCGCTCTTACATGGACTACAAGATCCAGTCATGCACTACTCACACCTGGCCTAGATCCTGTCTGATTGCAAACGCTCACAGCTGAGGCCGCTCATGAACTGATTACATGGACTATAAAGAGAGCACCCACACACACATCTTTGCTCAAGCTAGATGAAGTTATGAAATATCGTATTCATTAAATCAGAAGCAAATGTTATAGTTAAGAATAATATATTAAAACAATGGCAATATATTTGGAAAAGGGATACAATGAGTAATTGGAGCATAGGTAAAGGAATAATAAAACAGAAGGCATAATAACACGATGGGGAATAGGACACACCGGTTTAAATGAAACATCATATTTCATAGGAAAACATCCAACTGGCTTATGTGATCATTGTCAGGAAAAGGAACAATTTTTTTTGTTACTGTCAAAAATTCATTATAGTAAAAGAGAAATATTAAAGAAAGAAATTATGAAGCAAATCTTGGCATTAAAATTACACTTGATGAGGCCATGATGAAAGCTTATTAAACTATCTAAATAGAACAGGACTAATTAACAATTAAAAAAAAAAGATTAAAAATAAATAAATTTTTGAGAGGTAGTTAACTCCGGCTCACACTTTAGTATAGGAGACGGCGGTAATGCTACTTAATGTTTGTTGCCGACTGCCATAAAACAACAAAGAACATCTGTGCTGAGTCTTGTTATACGGTTTGTGAACAAAACAACACTCTTCTTGACTTGTTTCTGACCCTCGCTTTGTTTTGTTTATGCTGCTTGCTCTCAGCCTTTTAACCATCCACCTGTAAATTGACCACGACTTTGGATTGCCTGTATACATCTGTTTGCCCCTGAGTTGACTCTTGCTTGCCTGACCATACTCAAACCTGTGTTTGGATCTGCATTTCTTTTGTCAGAGTCCACTTCACATTACAATATTGGAGCATATGACATCATGGGCACAAAATTAACACTAAAATAACTAAGTCATTTGTGTTTAAAGAAGAACAGAATTTATTGGCCAACAAACCATCCATATGTACACAAAACATTTTCAACAAACAACACAACATCCCCTGCACCTCAGACATTTTTTTTTAAATTTCAAACACTAAACCAGCCTATAAATGACAAAAAAAACATTAAATATTGATTTGTAGTTGCAAATAAGGCTTTGAAAATAGCGTGAACTCGATTGATTCTATGCAAAGCATTAAGGTTCTAGACTAACAAAAAAAAGTCAAATCTATAACAAGTATCATAACAGATAACTTCTATCTAAAGTTTCCAATATACATGACAGCATGTCAGTTAATCATTTTAACTTTGTTTCAACTTTTAATTCCAAACGTTCAATCTGTTGTAGTAAGTGCAGCAAAACGAGTAACTATTCGCATATTACACCAAAGAGTCAATACAGATTGAATAGCTTACAAACACAATTCACAAATCCATGGTTGTTCTTCTGGTGGCAGAATCATCCTGAGGCAGTAAAGATGAAACCATCTCTGGCATACTTTGCATTGGATCTGAAAATAAAATAATGTAGACACATTTGTTTCTAAATTGTTGGAATTACAAAATTTACCAAATAAAAACACTTTTTAATTAAACACCTATATGCTACTCAACAACCAAAACTGGTGTAGTCATTACCCAGATGCATTCATCTTGACTCTGGTCATTGTGTTTTCCGCACACAGAGCAGTACTCCGCTGTTGACACTATGATAGTTAGAAAGAAATAATACATTTTATTTAAAGCGCCTTTTTTAAGAAACCCAAGGTCACTGTACAACGTGTGTGTATATACACTTAGGGTGCTTTCACACCTGTGAATCGATTCAGTTGTTCTGAAAGAGAGATTACAATTGTTACATTGTTGCTCTTTGCTCTTGGTGCGGTTCGCTTTCATACTGCAAAGTTTCTAAACAGACCAAAATAGCTAAAACAAGTCACATGTAAGAAAACTCTCCTTACATTGGTCAGTGTCAGGGTTTATTTTGCAGAGTCCCGCTCAGTTGTCAGGAGAGGTGGTGGTTTGGTGGTGTTTGACAAGGTGCGTGCGACATGTCTGAAGAGTGAGGAGAGGCGGTGGGGAGGGGTGAGAAGGGTGCGCGACGTAGCCTATTTGAGGACTGGGAGGGAGACGCGAGATTACCGGGAGATTATCACTCGTTTGTGGGCATCCGGCAGACTTGCGAAACCCTCTCTTCATATAGCCGTATGCCTATTACATATCCATAAAACACTGTGACATAACCGCGCTCGGATCGCATCGCTTTCTCACTGCAATCGATCTGCACCAGAGCAATTGATTTGGCGTGGATCCTAGCGCAATTGCTGGTTTGACATATGCCAAATGAACCGCGCTAACTGGGTAAACGAGACAGGCTCCGAAACAAGTGTAGGTGCGAAAGCACCCTTAATTCAAAAATTGAAAATTGTATAAAAAATAAACCGACAGTATAAAAATAGATGATAAAATTCAAAGACATGATACAAAATGTAGTATGCCGTTAGAAAGAGCAAGTTATTTTGAACAGAGGAGTTTTAAGTCTGGATTTAAAAAGAGGAAGAGTCAATAGCTATGTTTCCATCCACCTATTTTTATCCGCATTTTGCATATGCACATAAAAAACGGTTGTTGGAAACACCATGATGTGCATAAATTTTCAAAATGCACATAAGAAAAACTTATGCACATTATTGAGTAGGATAAACTTTTTTCGATAAGAAAAGATGCGCATAAACTACGAATGAAACACTTATCGCACAAATTTCAGTATGCGCATTAAAAAAAGGTCATGTGATTTTGTGTTAAGAAATCATGTTATGATGAAAATGTGTGTAAATGGACAAACCAGCAGGCTGCGCACATTATAAAACATCTAAAATGTTGTTTTGGTCATTCTAAAACACCCTATGGTTTAAATATGTGTTATTATTTTATTAATGACCTTCAGAATCAACCGTGTGTGACACCTTCAAAACACACGTTCACTGCGTGTCAGGATTGCCTTCTGAGGTACAAGTCATTTATTAGAAGAAAAGATTGACGCAGCTTCTGCAGCAAATTTAGTTTTAACTGTTGATATTTGGTGCCAGTTAATCAGGAAGTGATGATTTTGTTTGCTTTGACTCGTTGGATGGAAACGCTGCTTTATTCGCACGTCTTTTATGCGTTAATCCAGTTTTGTGCATAAAGTTCTTTCGCAAATTTGGACGGAATCATTGCTAGTGTTGCAGAGTGACTGAAAGCTCTGCTTCTTATTGTGCTGAGATGGGCAGAGGGAACAGAGAGGTGAATGGAGGAGAAGGATCTAAGGGAGCGGAAACGAGTGGTGATATGGTGGAAATCAGACAAATAAGGTGGTGCAAGGTTATAGATGGCCTTGAATATATGCAGGAGGATTTTCTATTCGACTCTGGGTTGGATTGGAAGCCAGTGCATGTCGTGTAAAATGGGGCTGATTTGGTGATGATGCGGGCAGCTGAGTGCTGGACCAGTTGAAGCTTCTGAAGGGATTTCTGTGGAAGATCATATAGAAGAAAATTGCAATAATCAATGTGTGAGCTGACGTGGCTGTGTATGATGATAGAGGTGGAGTGAGTGGTGAGAGAGGAGCGGAGACCATTTATAATACAAAGATGAAAATATGCAGACTTGGTTATGTTATTGATATAAGACTGGAAGGATAGTAAGCTGTCGAGGATGGCACCCAAACTCTTCAGAGCGGGAGACTGAAGTGGCATGTATAGCGAGAGATTTAAGGCTGCGTCAATTGCCGGCGTATGCTACGGCACTGACGCATAGCCCTTCGCCGTGGCTGTCAGCGTCGCTGACGTGCACCTCTCAAAAAATTTAACTACACGTCACAACGACGTGTAGCGTAAGCTCTGTGATTGGTCAGCTTGGTAGCGCTGACAAGTCTTGGCGGGACCGAGAGCCGCATGAATGGTGCGAGCCTGATGAAGCGATTGTTTACAAGTGTGGAGTCCCGTGAAGGAGCTCCGGATGGAAAGTTTTGTTTTGTGTTTACCTCATAGTTAAAGTTGTTGCACGTCCGCCGGTTCCTGCCTCAAAATGAGCGAGTTTGAGCCACTTGTACATCCAGGAAGTGTTCAGGAAAAGCAAAACAACAGCGAAGAAACTCGACACAGAGGAACATTTACACCTCACTGCCAACTAGCATTTCGGAAGTGTTAATGCAGACCAACAGCTTGAGCGTGCAGAAGTATAAATGCACAGCTACGCGCGTTGCATGCACCGTGGGTTACGCCGGTCACTTGACGCAGAAGTATAAACTAGGCTTTAGAGAGTGTAGATTTGGTGCCAACAAAAACAATTTCAGTTTTATCACTGTCAAGTTTTAAGAAATTTGAAGTAAACCAGCATTTTATTTCAGAAAGGCAATTATTGGGAATGGAAAGGGGGAGTAGGGAATTGGGCTTGCTAGAGAGGTAGAGCTGGGTGTCATCCACATAGCAGTGGAAGTAGAAATTGTATTTATGAAAAATGTTGCTAAGTAGGGCTGCATGGTGATGCAGTAGATAGCAGGTTTGCCTCACAGCAAGAGTAATAGTGATAGAAGATAATCTATTGAGTAGGTTGGAATGAGATATTGTTTTGAAAGCTGCACTTAGATTGAGTAGGATGAGAATAGTGATGTGTCCAGAATCAGCTGCCTTACGTAGATCATTTGTGATTTAGATGAGTGCAGTTTCTGTGCTGTGACCTGAGACTAGACTGAAATCGTTCATAAAGGTTATTATGAGATGAGATGGGAGTGAAGTGTGGATTTTTCTTTTCTAGAGTTTTGGAAATTAAGGGTAAGTTAGAAATGGGGCGAAATTATTGGGATCCAGACCCGTTTTTTTTTTTTTTTTTTCCCAGAATAACGGTGACGGCTGCAGTTTTGAAATGAAAAGAAACACTTCCAGTGGTTTGTGAGGAGTGGATAATGGACGATATGGAAGTAAAGCAGAGATGTAAGGCAAGATTTGGTCAAACCTGTGGGAATAGGATTAAGCTGACATGTGGACGATTTAGATTTCAAAATAAGGTCTGCAATTACTGTGGTATCAGGAAGTTATAATTAGTCTAGAGCAACATATTAAATCCAGAGTATGACCTTGTGTATGAGTGGGGAAATCTGAGTATCTGAGTCCAAAGCTATCTTGAAATGAAGAAACCTCTCTAGTTAAAGAGTGATTAATATTGTCCATATGTTGAATTCCCCTAGATGTATTGCATTTGATGACAGTAATAACATGTGTAAGCAGCAAAGTCATTAATGAAGTTACTGGGGGTTTAGGAGGACGGTACACAGTGGCAATGATAGTGGGAATTGGTCCAGGCTGTTTACACACTAAGATTCAAATGAGGAAAACAAAGGAACGAATACCTGCAATACTTTCCACTTCTCGTGATAAACTATTGCAAGACCACCTCTGCGAGAACCGCAAGGTTGACAGATGTAAACAAAACCAGCTGGAGTGGAATCGTCGTGAAAAGTCATGAGGCTGCTGCCAAGTTAGTTGAACACAAAGTCAAACTTGCGGTCAAGGAGGAGATTCTGGATGAGATGATTCTTGCTCGTAAGTGAGCGGATGTTAAGTAGACCGAGTTTGATGGAGGAGCTATTGTGTGTAATGTTTAGGGAAGTATTAGCTAGCCTGGCTAGGATGGCTAATACGCTCCAATCATCTGGCTGGTACTTTTTGGGGTGTGTCAAACACTGGACCAAGATGAACCAATTGCATTGGAGTTGCCATGGTGGTAATTACATTGGAAATTACGGCGAGATCCACGGTAGATTTATCTAGGAAAACGATGTTCTGGGTGGAGATGGAGCACCGCTGATGACTACAAAGGCAGAGAAGCTCAGCAGCCGTGTGGTGTAGCGAGCCTGCCACGGGTTGGTGGACAAGTGCTAGGAGAGTCCAAACAAATGAAAACCAGTGACAAGGACTGCTAGCCCACATCGCGAGCAGAGGGGTTGTAAGCAGGTAGGGTGATGAAGGACAGCATACATATCCAAGCTAGACGCAGAGAGACAATGAATGTCCAATAGGTTGGTGTGGTAATCAAGCCGTAAAACATTAAAACCAAAAAGCCATAGCTCATTAAAACCACATTATAAGGTAACCCCGTGAGTAGTGGCAGCAAAGCCTGCCAGTGTCCACTTACATCCGGGGTTCACATAGGATCATAATCACTGAGTCTGTTTTAAGGGAGGTACAATGTTCTTTCAAAGTACGTTATACCTGATGCCAGCAATATTTCTTCGGCCAAATTCTTTCTGTACTCGCACATCATTTCCTTGCTGGGTGTGATGTCAATGTTTTCAGGGATTTTTGGGAACTGTTCCACCACCTGTTTGGCCATCTAAAAGGACAGCAGAGATATTATCATATAAAAAATAAAAAGGTAAGGACAGTCTTTATATAAAAGTCTTTACACTCTACTCACCAGCATTATAAAAACACCACAGCTGGAATCGTCCTCCTGAAATGAATGCTCAATTGTGCTCGGTTTCCATTTTATGTCCACCAAGTCTTGCCTTCCATAGTTTTGTCTTCTCATGTGGAAATAAGCTCTGTTTTGGGGAAAATGCAGTGCAGTTCATGATGATCTCAGGCATCAACATGTTTATGTACAATAACTGTCATTTATTGATAAACTGTCATACCCAAACTTATGGCATGCATCTTGGGCGGCTCTCATTTCATTTACACCCCTTAGAGGGTCAAGAATGAAAAGGCTGTCAGTCTCTGCATGTAAAAACTATATTGAAGGAACAAACATTACAATTACTCATTTATATACATTTACAATGATATATATATATTGGTTGTAGTGTTTTACTCACCACAAACCTCCAGTGGTGGTTGTTGATATTTGTAAACGTGATGATCCCATCATATTGCTCAAAGTTGACCTGTTATGCATTAAGGTACATGATTATGTATGTATACTATACATGTACAAACCTAGTAATAGGAAGCGGTTGCTCTCACTTTTTTCAGCCCTTGGCATGCCATCTGGTCCTCGTTTCCACTTAAAATAATCCCAGCTGTATAATGGCTGAGCTGGTACAAGTTGGCACCCTTCATATTTAGTACAGCTCGTATATAGCACTCAATAGCCTAAAATATAACAGTGTCATTTTTCAAATTATTTTGGTGCTTACATCAATTCATAACATCATTACTCTTTTCTTTTCGGCTTAGTCCCTTTATAAATCCAGGGTCACCACAGTGGAATGAACTGCCAACTTATCCAGCACATGTTTATGCAGCGAATGCCCTTTCAGCTGCAACCCATCTCTGGGAAACATCCATACACACTCGTTCACACTCATAAACTACGGACAATTTAGCCTACCCAATTCACCTGTATCGCATCTCTTTGGACTGTAGGGGAAACCCACGCGAACGCAGGGGGAACATGCAAACTCCACATAGAAATGCCAGCTGACCTAGCCAAGGCTCGAACCAGCGACCTTCTTGCTGTGAGGCGACAGCACTATGTACTGTGCCACTGCGTTGCCCCCTTAACATCATTGTTACATGCAAATGTAATTATCCAATTATGCAATAAAATAGTTTTTAGGATCGGTGCACCTCTCCTGTTATCCATGAATGTGGGAACAATGATTGAAAATCCTGATGATGTAACAGGAACTCCAACTTCTGGTTAGGACACCTCACAATGGCCACAATCAGCTGAGTCGATGACTGCTTCCATAGTTTGAAGATCTGTAACAATTTCAAGGTTATTCAGTAAATAACA